CCATTATTATACCCGTATTGTGACCTGCCTGGTATTCAACCCTTGCCTGTTCACTGAACATGTCTCTTGCTTGCTGTCTGGACTGACTCTTTCCTGTTTACCACCATGTCTCTGCCTGCTGTCTGTACTAATCTCTTGCCAAGTCCCTCTGGTTACTGTCCAGTTGAGCACATGTTCTGCTGTCGTGTGTGGACATCTGTATTTTCCTGATCCACAGGTACTCTTGTTCTACCCTTGCTCAAACTTTTGTGCTACCTGGCCAGAGAGTATAGCATTAATTAGTAAGTCCTGAGGGCAACCAGGTACTATTAGGACTGCATGCCTTAATGCAGTGTTTCTTAACTAGGCTCCCCAGGGTTCTGCTGTAGTTACAGTGAATTTATAGCCACCCAACAGTGGCTTTTCCCCCTGCCGCTACCTCTTATGTACTATTGCCTACATGCATACATACATCTTTCTCTCTCCTCTCTTGATCATCATAGCTGAAGTCCTCTATCCTCTTATTAATTTTGTTGCCCTTCCCTGTACGCTCTAATTCAAGGACATCTTTCCTGTTTCCTACTGGTGTTGTAAACTGAACTGCATACTCAAGATGAGGCCCGAGCCAGTCTTTTGTAAAGGGGTAGAATTATTGATATACCCTTTCAGTAAATACCCTTAATCCATAAAAGTATTCCAATAGCTGTGTGAGCTGCTGCTTCAATTTGCCTGCTTTTGCTAAGTCTGTGATATGCAAAGATCTCCCAAGTCTTTTTCCATCTCTGATTTCCCCAGGGGATCCCCTTCTAATGAGTAATTTGCATGCATATTTTTGGCTCCGAAGTGTTATTGAACCTTATCTGCCATGTAGCTGCCCATCCCTCTACTCTATGGAGGCCTTCCTGTAATGTTGCTATATTTTGTGACAAATGTTTTCCACTGCATAATCTGGTATCAACACTGATATAAACTCTTAATCCCAACCTCAGTATCATTTATAAACAAGGTAGACAATAGTGGCCCAATGAAAGAACCCTAGGGCACACTGCTGACAACCTTAGACCACTTAGAGAAAAAGCTATTTATTGCTACTCTCTGCACTAGCTTTCTATCCATGCACACACCGAATTTCCGTAATGTCAAGATACCTTTGTAAACAAAGCATCTGTGAGATACAGTATAGAATGCTTTAGCAAAATCCAGATAAACTACATCTACTGGAATTCCACTATCTAAATAGCTATTTACCTCCTCTTAGAACAGTAACAGGTTGGTTTCACAAGAATGGTTTTTCATAAACAGATTGTTATTTATGATACCATTTTTGCAGACAAATTCTTAAATATAATCCCTAACCATTACCTTAAATACTATACATACTACTGATGTTAGGTTGACTGGTCTGTAGTTTCCTTTTAGACATCTTATCCCTTTTTGTTAATATTGGTACCACATTTGCTCTACGCCAGGGGTGCCCATAAGGTCGATCGCGTTCTACCAGTTATTCGCTGAAGCATCCCACACATTATGCTTGCCCCTCCCAGCCTGCAATGTTGGACACATTTGGCCCGCCCCATCCCGCCCCACCTGCAATGTCTAACACATTTGGCTCGCCTCTTCCCGCCTGCAGTGTCGAACACACCAGAAGAGCCAGGAAGCAGGTAGTTGCTACTGGAAACAAGTTATAATCCAGTCATGCACACACACATGTATGATGTCAGTCATTTAGGAACAGAAACGAAAAACTAGCTCAGTCATGAAGGGGTTAATCTTACCCATCTGAGTTATGTTCCTCCTCTGGCTCTCTAACACACAGTTCTTTACATGCCTGACTCATCCACTTTCCCAGTCACCGTGGGGGAAGAATGATTGGATGTGTATTATATTATATCACCCCCTCTTTTACAGGGACTACAATAGTCTGATTCTAAACACCCCAGTCCCAGAAAGCATTTTAATGTCTTTGGTTTTCAAATACAGGTTCTCTTCTTCATTGATAGATCTCATCGAGATCATAATTGGAAAAGTAGATCTTACTACAAAAAAATGTGGGCAAACCTGCTCTACGCCATTCATTTGCTACCATTCCAGTCTGTAGAGCATCTTTATAACAATAGAATAGCAGCTTGGCTATAACAGAGCTAAGCTCCCTTAATGCTTACGGGCATAAGCCATCTCGTCCTGGTCATTTTTTCTTGTCAAGTTTTCTTTTGAACTTGAATTTTTGTCATCCGAGGTACATTTAGTATATTGGTATTAACATTACTGTGTTGCTTATTAAAACCCATCTTTTTTTGTTTGCAAATACTAGAGAAAGAAAACTGTATTTAGTACAACTGCCTTCTCCCTGTCATTTGTGAAGAACTTTCCCATGCTCATCTTTTATGAGGCCTACGTGTTCTGTGCTTTTCTTTTACTATGTATTTAAAGGATTTTTTTAACATTTTGTTCTACTTAGTGTGGCAATATGTTTTTTGTAATCTATTATAATCTATTTTATCTGCCCTGATCGCACTCAGGGCAGTTAACTGCACTAATTGCATTGACATTTTGTAAAGTCCATTTGTTTCTCATTTACTAGTTTTTGAGACTGTGTTACCTAATGGAATGTACTGGCTAATCAATACTACCCTAAAACACTCCCATTTGTCTTCTGTGTTCTTCATTAAGAATAATAGATCCCATTTAGTATCATACAGTGAGCAGCTCAGCTTATTGAAGTTGTCCTTTTTGAAATATAGATTTCATACCAACATGTCTTTCCTTCCTATCACCTTACAGTACATATAATCACATTGTGATCACTATAACCCAAGCTGTCTCTAATTTGCACATATGTAATAAGCTCCGCAGTGTTTGAAATGAATAGATCTAACAAAGCATTTTTGTCTAATTGGGGCTTCTACCAACTGACCCATGAAGTTATCCTGCAATAAGTTCAAGAATTGCAAGGCCTTAGTTGAGTAAGCAGTTCCTTTTGTCCAATCAATAATGGGATAATTAAAGTCTCCCATAATATTAACATTAACATGTTTCCAAGCTATTGAAAAGAGCTTGGTCTCCTCCTCATCCTTTATGCCAGGAGGGTCTATATCAAACCCCTGTGATTAATTTACTATTTGTTTCTCTCATTTGAAGCACGAGTCATAAAGACTCTGCCCCATCACAATTCTCGTTATTGTTATATTCTCTCACATTCACTTTCAGATTGCCCTTGACATGCAGACATACCCCTCCACCTCTTCTACCAACCCTGTCTCTCCAAAATAGAGTGTTCCCTATACTCATATAAGCTGGTTGACAAGGTTTCCAAAACTTCCAAAAAATCAAAATCATCCTTAAAGGCGAACTATGAGGTGAGTGCTTTTCACTCACCTCATAGTTCTAGCCGACTTGTGACAATGAGACTGTCACAGGTCAGCTCAGTAGATCGGGAGGTGAGCAAACACATACCGGCGTTCGCTCACCTCTCGATCCTGTCACAGCTCTCTGCCGTGACAGGGGAGGGGCTGGATTCCCCCCTCCGATCCGCCAGCGCTGACTGGCGGAACGGACGGGGGAGGGGGCGGGTACAGCTGGCTCTGCCTCTGGATAGGCAGAGCCAGCTGTCACTCACGCAGCTGGGCGGATCCAGACATAATTGTTGGGATCCGCTTCAGCTGCGGCGTCTCAGTATACTGCAAGCTGTAAAAACAAACTCTAACTCCTCCATTTTGTTTGCCAGATGTCTAGCATTTGTGTTCCTTTTAATTTTGTTCTGGAATGTATTATGTTTCTATTGCTCACCCCTGACTTATGAATATATATATTTTTAGGCCTCCCTGCTTCAGACTTAGATAACATAATTCCCCTGCAGACTAGCTTGAGCCCCACTTCGCCCTATTCCACCACCTCTATATCCATTGCCCACTTTGATTCTTGCTCAGTTTATGGAATATTCTTTAGTGATCATTCCTCTCAAATTTATTACATGAACTAATAATAATTGTTTACACAAATTACTTCTGTATTCTTATCAATTGATCAATTTATTCAACTGCTACAATAAGAAAGACAGTTAATGTTATGAACAACGGCAGTGTTTTATCACACTGCCAGATAAACAATGCTTTGTGCTTTGAATGTTTTCGACATGAGTGACTACTACTACTTTTCTGCTGAGTTCCTTCTACTGCATAGACAAAGACTGGGATGGCCAGTGCTGCTGTCCCCATTAGCATGACACTATCACACAGTTTTCCCTGAGCACCAATGCAAAGTTAAAGGTTTGCACTTAAAATCAATGCAAAGTTGGAATTTGTGCACCAATACAGGGTGTTTTGCGGTGACCACTGAACACAAATGGAAATTCAGGTTTTTGTTCTTTTTTACTCTGTTCTTCTGATATTTATATGCTTTTTTTTAGTGTTTGTGTTATTAACATATTTATTGCTATATCGATACCTTCCTAACCACACTAATGCACCACTGTAGACGAGACGTTCACCAGGATCTTAAAATGTATTCAAGGATTCCTCACAGGTATAAAGGTTGAGAAAGGTGCCTTAAGGCCTGTTTTTTTCTACCCTAAAAAATGCTCAAAAAATATCCCCCAAAAAGATCCCATTCATTTTTATGGCCCTTTCACAGCTGAATGTTTTGTCGCAATAAGCAAAATGCCCGTCGCTGTAAAAAGTACAGGAGCTTTTTTTGGGCATATTACCGCTTGTTTTGGCCCCATAGACTCAATAGGAAACGTTTGAAAAGATGCGTTTGGTGTGTTTTTGGGCATTTTAATGCAAGTTTTATGCGCTCAGAAATATGTGGCATCAGAAATAAATGCAGTGTTGTTGGGTGATGACTATAGATGCTTCATGTTGAAACCAGGTCACATTCAGTAACTTACACTACTTGCATTTAAAAATTGTATCTAAGAATGCATTAATGAACACAAGGTAGCATTAACTGGGGTATTTTATTTCTACCTGTAATTCAGCTTTAATATTTTCCTACATGGTTAACATTTTTATACTTTATTCCAGGCACTGGTAAAGAAGGAGTGCTTAAAGAAGCTGGTTTTCCTGTCATTGAAAATAAATTATGTAACAGCCCAGAATACCTTAATAACAGAGTGACAAGCCGGGAGCTGTGTGCTGGCAACATCCATGGTGGTATTGACAGTTGTCAGGTAAGACAATTTAACCTGTGCCCAGTTAGATTCTCTAACTGGTGAGCTGTAATGTCTATAAAAAAGGATAGCTGTGACTTACCTACGTAAAAAAAAAAGATATAATTTATAAAATAACTTTAATTCCAGTGTTACTACTACTACCCCATCCTATATTTTAATTGACAGTTGTCACACTTCTTCATAGAAAACTTTCACTTGTTTTCACAATGTTTTCTGAAAATTGTTACTATTTTTCGTTTCCTACAGGGTGACAGTGGAGGACCTCTTTCATGCTTTGATGGGGAAAAGTATGTTTTACAAGGAGTAACTTCGTGGGGTCTTGGCTGTGCTCAGCCCATGAAACCAGGTGTATATGTGCGTGTGTCTAAGTTTATCCCATGGATTGAAAAGACAATGAAAGCAAATTAATGCATCAACAGTACTAATGTTTTATTATATATGAACAAAAGAGACTGATAAGTATGTTAATATAGCAAGAATAAATATGCTTTTTGTCAGTTGGAAAAAAATGAGTAGTAATATTATTTATCAAATGCTTGTTGTTTTCATTATACTTTCTATGTTTCTTAAAGTGTAACTTCAAGCAAAGATAATTTTGTTTTTAGAACCCAATCCATCTTGGACAAAAAACAATCAGTCCTTAGCCTCTACAAAAAAAGCTTGATGGTATACTGGATGCTACACTAACCTGATCTCTGGCACTGTCCTGCACAGATTCACCGATCTGCTCTCCTCAGTGTCATTCAACCCACTTCCTGTGAGACAGGGCATTAATGGCCCTCCCCCTACACTGGAATAACAGAATACTGCACAGAGCAGCAAAGCATCATCAAGTGTCTTGCAAAGTGCCACACCCTGTCATTTTATATAAAGATTTTATTTTAAAGAAATGGGTGCTCTAATGGGGCGGGCGGGGGGGAGCGGGTGTATTCACAGCTTAGAGTGGTAACAGGTGTGTTGCTCACCTTAATTTTTAGTGTTTGCAGCTTTCTTTTTTTAGTGGGCCATTTGCCCCTGCTTTAAACCTGTTCCTCCTGTCACCTGTATATTTCAACACAGGGCAGTGCTGTGTAGTGACAAGAGCAAGTGGACCCTGATACACCCCTAACATTTGATTGACAACTGTATGCTGCCTCTGCATATCCCTCACTGCTTTCTCAAGAAACATATAAATAATTTTTTGTGTGAAATTAATGGTATTCTGTGCATCAAAAAAACGGAATTACTTGAAGATCAAATCAAAAGTATCCTCTAATGGGATAACCCAAAACTGGATCTAACCAGAACAGAAAAAGAAGCAGAGGGCCCAGATGCACCAATACAAATGATGATAAATATCTTGCAGTGTTTGAAATAGATGCTTTGCCCATGCATGTTAAAGGAAAAGGATCGCTTTAATGCCCCTCTCCTCTGCTCATATAAGCACCTTTTTATTTCTCCCACAAAGCTCTAACCTCTTCTTCTGGGTGCTTAGGAACATGTGATTTGCCCAGTGCTGTCACATGGGGTGGGAAGAGTCCTTAAAACCAAGCTTGACTGGACTCATTCAGAGGTTGCACAGGGCTGTCTATGGCAAGCAAAGAAAAGGTAAGTATGCCCTGCTGAGGAAAAGAGCATTAAAAATGACCCTCAAATGGGAAAAGCACAAGTTTACTTTAAGTAGTACATTACAAATCAACATTATCTGTAAAAATGAAAAGACATCTGCCAGATCCCTTTGATGTTGGATTGAGGTGGAGTTTCAAAAAGCCATCACTGAAAAGGTAAAAAGGGGACATGAACTCATATACTAGTCAGTGAATTACAAGAAAAGAGCCTCACAGATGAATACCTCTAGTTGAGTAGTTGATGTTTTTTGTCAAGCAAGGGGAGAGAAATATAATAAGAGGAGTCTTTAAAGCTGAACTTCAGGCAGAAACCTTAAATATTTATTCAGTGCATGGGTTCCTTTGTACAGATTCAAGCTTTTTTAAGTTCTCTGGCATTCCTGAGATCCAGAATCTTCCTTACTAAGTGGCTTTGCTCCTCTTAATAAGCCCCTATTTCCAGTCAACACAACCAGTCACTGCAGCCTGCTTGCCTCACTGCCCCCAGTGGTTTGGTTCTGCAGTGCTGACTTCACCATGTTGGCACTGTATATACTGTAGATAGAGACCAAGGGCAGGTAGTTGCTGGGACTACACTGTCTTTAACTTAACTGCTCAGCATAACCCCCCATGCAAACCGCCAACTTCCACTCAACTCATTTTGTCCCTTGCTATCCTGTTGGGTTGCTGCTTGTTGCCTAGAAACCAAGAAAACTGAAAAACCCCTCCATTGTAGAGGGTGGCAGGGAAACGATAGGTAAACTGATGCAATCTCATCATACAATCTTTGTACAATCAACTTTAAATTTACCAAAACTATGTAATTCGAGGACCTACCTAAACTATACAATCAATTTGTATCCAATCAGGAAGGCATTACATAGTTGTTGGTAGATATAAAGGAGATTGTACAATCAGACTGTAACTTGTGCAGTGAGCTTTACAAAGCTGGAGGCAGCCTAGAAGCAACATGTTGCTGAAGCCAGTCTGATCAACAGTGTCCATAGTACAATTTTAAGTATGCTGCATAATATTTTTGTGAATACACAAATACAGGAAATAATCCACTGTTTCTGGCTATATGGTATGCATAGGCACTTACACTGCTGCACGTGCTGTGCCAGCAATTGCACTACATTGCCAGAGCAATGACAAGGGAGTTCTCTGCTCCCTGTCACTGCCCATTTAGCCACCCACAGCCTCACACATCCATCTGCTCATCACTTCTACAGTAACATCTAAGACTCTTCCCACTTGCTGCCGCTAAAGAAAGCAGGATTTGAGCCCTGTAATGACATCACTGGGCTGGAAAAAAAGGTAAGAAAAGAGGTAAAGAACAAAACCTTTTTTAAGTTATCTAAAGTATAGCAGATGATTGTGGGTAATTAATACTTTGCACAGAGTTCAGCTATAATGCTGGCAAGGTTGTTATTTACACAAGGAATATTGATACAAGTGTCCAGCCCAGGGCTCAAAATTTCAAGTCCTGAGCTACTAGCCAGGCCTTAAAAGTTACTCGCCACCAGTTGCCCCACCTAACCCCTACCCTGCCCCAGACTTAACTCCGCCAGGTCAGTAATGTAACGCACAGCGCAGAGGTCAGTAATGTAACGCACAGCGCAGAGGTCAGTAATGTAACGCACAGCGCAGAGGTCAGTAATGTAACGCACAGCGCAGAGGTCAGTAATGTAACGCACAGCGCAGAGGTCAGTAATGTAACGCACAGCGCAGAGGTCAGTAATGTAACGCACAGCGCAGAGGTCAGTAATGTAACGCACAGCGCAGAGGTCAGTAATGTAACGCACAGCGCAGAGGTCAGTAATGTAACGCACAGCGCAGAGGTCAGTAATGTAACGCACAGCGCAGAGGTCAGTAATGTAACGCACAGCGCAGAGGTCAGTAATGTAACGCACAGCGCAGAGGTCAGTAATGTAACGCACAGCGCAGAGGTCAGTAATGTAACGCACAGCGCAGAGGTCAGTAATGTAACGCACAGCGCAGAGGTCAGTAATGTAACGCACAGCGCAGAGGTCAGTAATGTAACGCACAGCGCAGAGGTCAGTAATGTAACGCACAGCGCAGAGGTCAGTAATGTAACGCACAGCGCAGAGGTCAGTAATGTAACGCACAGCGCAGAGGTCAGTAATGTAACGCACAGCGCAGAGGTCAGTAATGTAACGCACAGCGCAGAGGTCAGTAATGTAACGCACAGCGCAGAGGTCAGTAATGTAACGCACAGCGCAGAGGTCAGTGTGACACACAGTGTAAGGAAGAAAGAAAAGGGACTTACAGTGCACTTAGCTGGTATTCAGGTGCCTCTTTTTTCTCCTGGGGGGGTTGGGGTGGAGGTCAGTGCAGAGATCCTTCTTTTCCCTGCTAACTTTCTGGATGGCCGGTCTCACCGTCTCTGCAGTCTTCCTCCCAGCCTGGCAGCTGAGGTGGGCGGAGGAAGCTGCAGAAGACAGCGGATGTCATCGAGGAGCGCCGCCGGCGGGACCAGAGATGGGACACTACCACCACGGCGATCGTTCACTTGTGTTCTCTCTTCTCATCGGCCGCTCCTCAAGAATAGAGAACAGAAGCAAGAAATTGCCGCGGCGCTAGTGTCCCATCTCTGGTCTCGCCGGCGGCGCTTCCTTGATGAGATTCCACTCCCCCCCCCGCAATTTTCACTCGCCAATTGCGAGGGGGCGAGTGGAAATTTTGAGGCCTGGTCCAGCCTATTGTACAATGTCATGACATTCACTGGTGTGAGCCTAGATCGGTCAAAATTTAATTCTACAACAGGACAACAATCCTCAGTATACGTCTAAGCTATATGAAACTTCTTTGAAGAAATAGGAAGCTGGAATACTTTCTGCCATGAACTGGCTTGCCCATTTACCAGAAATTAACCCTATTGAGCTCTTGTGGGAAGGAATGCATGGTAAAGTCCACGAGAAATAACCTACATGCCAGTAACATTTCTGGGAAGACAGACAGAAGATGTGGGTTGAAAAGTCTCTTGAATACCATCAAACACTGACAGCTAAAATATCAAAAGATTTGAGAAGCCATAATAGGTGTAGATTAATTCATTTTGGATGAATGTGAACTTTGAAGAATTTAACACTTATATTAAATAAAATGAACGTTATGACGTGTGTGATGTATACACAAAATTTCTGAATTGAAAAAAAAATGTAAACTTGTATCATACATTTACAAAAAAAAGAAGTATGATACAAGTTTCTAGGAAATTTACACTTTCCTGGTGCCTTTTCATGGCAGCATACTCCTGATAAATTCCACCCCCATACCCATCTATAGGACCAGTGTAAATCTATAAATGAGAGTGAGAAATCCCCCTACAGCATTCCCGTAACGAGACTAGACCACAGGAGGGAAATATGCTGCCATTGATAGGCACCAGCAAAGGAAAATTACAGGTAAATATGATACAATTTTCTGTTTTCCTGGTGCCTACATGGCAGCATACTCCTGATAAATAAAGAGCTTAGATTTGGGTTAGATGCAAAACATTTATTGAGTCACAGAAACAGAAGCCCCGATGGTGCTCCTGCAAAATTCCACAGTAGTCAGGACTCCTGGATCGATTCCAAAATGCCAGATAAAGGTGTGTTGCAAGGACCAGCTTGCCATTCTACATATCATCTCGAATGGAACTCTGGCCGGGGCTGCCCACGCTACAGCCATCGCTCTGGTCGAATGAGCCCTCAGCGAATCAGGAGGTTGCTGACCCACTACTCTATATGCTCCCCTAACAACCTACATGATCCAGGAAGATAAGGTTTTAGCCTTTTCTTCTTTACCCTTGAATCTTCCCCCAGTGACTACAAACAGATGATTTGATGTTCTGAATTTGTCAGCTTGAGGTAAGCCTTAAGAGTCCTAGCCATGTCAAGTTCATGCAGACTTTGCAGATGTGAATATGCCATAAAAG